TCTCAAAAAACTTAAAAAAAAAAAAAAAAAAAAAAAGATGTAGGTAAATATTACCTTTATCGTGGATGTAGTCAGAGGCTAAAAAGGCAATACATGTGTATCTCCTGGTTTGTTAAACTCTTACATTTTTTCTTTTTTGAGTTTTGATATACAGCAGCTTTTATATAAATGTTTTATATTATTCACTGTAAAAGAAAATATAGAGTTTCAATTGTGGCAGTTTTCTTTCTTTTTCTAAAGACAGGATCTTGCTGTGTAGTTTAGGCTGGACTTGAATTCACTTATGTAGCCCAGGCTGGCCTGGAACTCATGGCAATCCTCCTGCCTCAGCTTCCCAAGTGCTGGCACCACCATGCCCAGTGGCAATTTTCTTATAGACCTAAATATAAGACCATTTTCTAAGAGATTTTATTTGAATTTTTCTCTTGTAGCAGTGGTAAATGCTTTTAATAAAGGCCCACTGGCACTAGAGATATACTCAGAGGTAGAATGCTTTCCTAGCATGTGCAAGGCCCTAAATTCATTCCCTGTACCATAAAACAAAACCAAAGAACCCACTAATTCTGATATCTCAAATACTATGGTTATTGACAAGTACAAATAGTTAAATATTTGTACAGTCTCTGAAGAAAGCAAGTTAGATAACATTTCACAGTTCATTTATTTAGGAGAGCTATCACAATAATTTAATCTTTTAAATTTTTTCTGGGCATGGTGGTGCAAACCTGTGTAATCCCAGCATGATGGCACACACTTGTAATCCTAGCTGTGAGGGAGGCTGAGGCAAGAGGATCACAAGTTTGAGGCCATCCTGGGCAGTTTAGATCCTATCTCAGTATAGGCTGGGGATATAGCTTAGTGCTACCTGGGTCCAGCTCCCAGTACTCGAAAATCAGTAAATAAGTTACAAAATTAGCTACTAGAACAATTGCAGGAGGACATCTTAGAAGCTTGATTAACAGTTCAAGTTTTGTTTTTTAAATTTTGAGATTGAGTCTCACTGTGTAGTGCAGGTTGGTCTCAAACTTGAGGGGATCCTCCTGCCTCAGCCTTCTGCATGCTGGGATTACAGGCTTTCACCACTACAGCTGGCAACAATTCTAGTTTCTTATGTATTTGAGGGTGATAAATTGAATTAAATGGTAGTTTTTTTTCTTAATTTTGATTGACTTGTACTGCTTACTACATAGTGATCTTTCAAAGTGTCTATTAATAGCGTTTTGATCATCCATGTTTTCATTCTTTCATACATTGCACTAACATCTCATGAATTTGTATAATTTCTATAGGTTAACATACAAAAAGAATACGTTTTTTTCATTTCATTCATTCTGCTTCTAGGGTTATGATATAGTTATTATAGTTCAAAATAAAAGCATATTTATTTATTTGCGTAAAGAGTACTAGGAATTGAACATAGGGCCTCTGTACTGAGCTGCAGCCCAGCTTTTTTTTTTTTTCCAACTGTGCTTGGACTTTCCAACCAGCTGCTTCGGCCTCCCAGAGGGCTGGGATTAGAGGTGTCCACCTTCACATCGGAGTAAAAGCACCTCAAAAAACAACAAACTTTCTGTTGGAATATAACATACATCTAGGGAAATGTTAGTTTACTTACTAATGAGTTTTTTTCTTACTAATGAATTTTATCAAACTGAACATAGCTGTGTAATCAGCTGCAGAAATTGTTAGCCAGCATCCCAGAAGCTTTCTCCGTCCCCCTTTTCATAATTCCCTCCTAAGGATAACTACTATCCTGCCTCCTCATGGCATAGATTGGTTTTTCCTACTTTTAGTAAAATTGCACTGTTTGATTTATTAAAGAATTTAGTTTGCCCATATTGAAAAATGTAATGTTACAGTGCTTTGGATAATGTCCCAACAACATGGTGTTTTTGATGTTTTAGTGAGCAAGAGAGTTACCCAAAGGAGCTGATGAATATCTACAGGTCGGCACTGTCAGCAGGCATCCTCGGCTGGGCATACGGGGGAATACCAGCTTTCATTCATGCTAAACGGCGCTACATTGAGCAGAGCCAAGCAGAAAACTTTCACAACCGGTTTGATGCTGTGGTAAGTACTGGTGGCCTGAGAGTGTTACGTGGCAGCACGCCGTCTTCACAGTTACACGTAATTGCTCAGGTTGTAATTTGAGAGGATCATCAAAGTTTTTGTTTAATAACAGCGGAAGTACTAATGCTAATGTGCCTAAGCATAGCTCGTTAGAAACCTAGCCTCAAAACAGGCATGTGTGGGTTCACCACTGTGGCTAATGAACAAGAAATCAACACTGGTGTAGTACTGTTATCTACAGACCTTGTTCTTTCACTTACCTCATTTACTTTATTTTCTTTCTTTCTTCTTTCTTTGTTTTTTGAGACAGGGTCTCACTATGTAGTTGAGACTGACCTGGAACTCACTATGTATCCCAGTCTGGTCTCCCAACTCACAGCAATCCTCCTGCCTCAGCCTCCCTCATGCTGGGATTACAGGTGCCACCACACCCAGCTTCCTTATTTACTTTAAACACATTTAAAATTTTTATTTCTGGTCTAGGATCTAATAGTAAATTACATGTTGAATTTGTCTCTTGGGCCTCTTTAGTCTGGAATACTGTCTCTTTCTTTTCTGAGCTTGACAGTTTTGATTTATGCTTTGGTTATGATTTCTTACAAACTTCAGGTTATGCTTTTTGGCAGATATACCCTTCACTTGATACTGTATCCTTCTTAGTTCTTTACAGCAGAAGCACATACTATATATATCTGTCATTTTACTTTAGTCACTTAGCTAAGAGGACATCTGCCAGGCATATTCCCTATAAAATTATTATTTTTTCCCCTTTATAATGATAAGTATTGTATAGGTTCTTATTAGATCTTTTGAAATTATATAAGTATCCTGTTTTCATCAAATTTTCACCCCCGAGTTTCAGCATGAAATTATGATTCTTGCTTGAAATAGTTATTATTATTATTATTAATAGTTAATATATTATTAATAGTTAATACTATTATTATTTCTAATTCTATCATCCTTTCTCCATTTCTGGATTAATATTCTCCTCTACGAAAGCATTTGTTCCTGTACCCCTGTATTTATCTGTGTGCCCATCTATCTATGTCACACATCAGCAGTAGAGATCATTCCAAGGCCTGTATTGTGAGACAGCTTTGTCACTGTGTGCACACTGAACATCACAGAGTGTACTGAGATGAACCACTCCCAGGTCACAGGGCAATGTAATTTTATGGCCGCACATTGTATCTGTGGTCTTTTTTTTTGGTGGTGGTGAGGGATACTGAGCTATATCTCCAGCCCCCTTTTGTATTTTTTATTTTGGGAGAAAGTCTTGCTGAGTTACTAAGTTGTGCCCAGGTTGGGCTGGAATTTATGCTTCTCCTGCCTCAGCCTTTCCCAATGCTGTACCACCACATCTAGTTTGATCCTTGATGCATTCCTGTGTAGTACATGATTGTGTTTACAGTTCATGTATCTTAGTATGTACTTAGGGCTTCTGGTTTCATTCCATAGGCCTATGTAGTCCATTGTCATTCATTTTGATGCTCAAGTTGGCCTGGATTTGGACCAGGAGAGCCGCGCCGGCTGGCACCTGTGCCCTTGAACCGTGTCTTCTTTGTTCTCTAAGCACAGTGAAATGTTCCTGGCCTTTTACTCTTCACATGCCAGTTCTAGAATTAGCCATTTCTCAAAGAGCTCAGGTTTCTTTCAGTGGAGACTGGTATTTAAACCAATATTTTATGTATGTTTCTACCAGACTATTATTGCTTTTAGACCCTAGGCAGACAGAGTTAGGGAGAGTGTGTGAGTGTGTGTGTACGTATGCTCAGCTTATATACACATTGACACACATCTGTATCAGTGCCTATTTATTAAAAGCTGTGAGTTCACACAGATACCTCTCAGAGAGGTTTTGACTTGCCCAAGATCATTGAGTAATTAAGATACACACAGAGTTTCTCTCAGTCTTTACAAATCCAGACTTTCCTCATGATATTGTACCAGATTTGTTCTGTGATGGGCTAGTAAAGATGGACAATGGAGACACAACGTCCCTTCCAGTTCTAACTTTATTACTTACTCTCTGGGTGATATTGGTGATGAACTTTCCCCTAAGCTTTAGTGAAAACTGTAAGACCTTCCTGAAAACAACGTTGTAAGGAATCAACAAGGCACTGTCTTCAAACACTTTAAACGTGAAAGATGGGCAGGAAGTATTTTTTTCTTTCTCTGCTCTGCACATCTGTGTTACTTTAATCTTTGCTCTTTGATTTAGTATTCACGCAGCAGATACTCTTTTCACCAGTATTTCTTGAATATTAAGAACATGTGTAATACTGCTTTCATATCTGACACCGTGGTTGCCGCTCAGATTCTCTTTAGATAATGGACGGATTACTTGGTTGATAGTGGCCTAAGTTCCTTTATCATCTCCTGATAAAGTGGGATGTGCATTAGACTTTTGCCGAAGCCTCGGTGTTTAAAGAGTGACATTTCTAGAGATTTTCTTTGTTCCTTTCTAAGTTATAGCAGACGTTCCTGCATGCCGTTTTGTAATAAAAGGGCACATCAGGGTGTCCTGGACGCTCATAGCATTTTATTCCCTTCAGCAATGCGCACATCGCGCTGCCACGCGAGGCTTCCTTCGGTATGGCTGGCGCTGGAGCTGGAGGACTGCAGCATTCGTGACTGTGTTCAAGTAAGTACTCTGTACTGCGAAAGAAGGTCTTGATTCTCTTTCAAGACTGCCTCTTTTAAGGAAGTGGGTTTTTTTTGTTGTTGTTGTTTTGGTGATACTGGGCATTGAACCCAGGGCCTTCACACTGAGCTGTATCCCTGTCCCTTTTTTATTTTTATTTTGAGACAGGATCTTGCTCTATCACTGAGTTGTACAAACTGGACTTGAACTTGCAGTCTTCCTGCCTCAGCCTTCCAGAGTGCTGGGATTATAGGCATGTACTACCACACGCACTTGAGCAGGTGGAATTATAAAAACTGAATTATTCACGGGAAAGTAACTCGTAATGTATTTTTTCTTTTGTTTATTGTATTTGACACAAGCTCTCACTAGTTTAGGCTGGTCTCGAACTTGCTGTGATCCTGCCTTGCCTCCTGAGTGCTGGGATTACAAGTGTGCACCACCATACCTGGCCATGACGCCTTTTCCTCAGAAACATTTGTCTATCTGTGTAAGAAGTTGACCCTGTTGTAGTTTTACATACAGGATAGAGATCTGCCAGTTAGGATCAGCACAGATACAAGAGTGAATTCTAATTAAAAGCAATTCTGCAGAACTTTCTCTGTGTCTCTAAGGGAATGCTTACTCCAGAGATTTGATTGTTCTTTGGTTCCTCTTTAGCAGAAAGTCTACCTCGGAAGCCCCCAGGCACTTTAGCAATCTAGAACACCTGTAAGGGGCCTGGACTAGGACAGGGCTTGCCACTGCAGGCTCTTCTAAACCTATTATTGTAAGAAAACAGCAGTCAGGAAGGGAAATGTCATATGTTTTGAATTGTATATTTTCCTTTTCCTCTCCAATTCTCAGTTCAGTGAACACCGGACTAACTGCGTACAGAAATAAAAATGCCCTGAGCCATTTTGTCGTGGCAGGAGGTAAGATATTTTTGTTTATGTTTACATTTTTCAGTGTCAGCTATGGTTTAAAAAATACTTAGGAACGTATAAATAACGATTGCTGAATTCTTTGGTTGGCTTCCCACTACATCTCACTCAGCATTCATACAAAGTGTGTTCGTGGACACCACTGTACTTGGCCCGTAGTGAATAAACCAGACAAGATCCTTGCTTTTATTGAATTTTAGTCTAACAAAAATGGGAAAAAACAGGTTCCTGTGATAGAATATTACAGATACACGAGACAAGACCTGAGGTTGACAGATTGGCCCCAGCTTGTCTTTCTCAGGAAGTGACATCTAAGCTGATGTCTGAAGAATGGGATGGATCATGCATTCTCCAAAGTGGCCTACGCAGGGGGAGAATTAGAGCCAGGTCCTAAGACAAGAAATTTCCTCAGAAACAGGTTAAGCTGGGTATGGGGGAGCCTGCCTGTATTGCCAGGCTCTGGGAGGCTGAGGCGGGAGGACTGCAAGTCTTGAGACCAGCCTGGGAACTCAGTGCCTTAGCCAGACGCTGTCCCAAAGTAAAGGGTTGGGGATGTAGTTCAGTGTGAAGGCCCTGTGTGCAGTCCCCAGTACCACAAAACAACAACAACAACAACAAAAAGCATAGTTTAATTTGGTTCTGATCTAGTGAAGGGAAGACTAGCTTGAGAAGATATTTTTCTCAAGAATAGAGAACTAGATTTTTCACAGTGGTGTTTTATTTTTATTCTAAATCTTGTTTTGTCTAGTAGATACAATTTATTTTAAATGAGCTTTCAAAGTAGAAAACACAGTTGGTTATAGTGATGCACACCTGTAATCCTAGCACTCAGGAGGATTAGCTACATGGTAAGACTACACATGCACGACAGACAAAATCTTTGGCCACTCATGGTCAACTCACCCTTTGCTTCCCTCCCCTTACCAGTTTTTAGGGCAGGACTGCATGTGCCCAGCTCTCACTGCGCTGGTCTCTGGGTCCCGGTGGGGCTGCCAGCCATCCTTCACCTCAGCACACACAGGGACGCTATCCCTTCAGAGACTGCGGGGACTTCAGCCATTGCACATTGGGGACAGAGACCAAATGTATGTGTCATGGCACTGCAGGGAGCAGAAATAACTTAATAACCCCTTGAGTAGACACCGTTTCACTTGGCAGACGAGAAAACTGAGACTTGAAGGACCACAGCTTTGCTGTGTCACATGGCTACTAAACTGCGTGCGTGAGAGCCAGTGGTCTGCCTCTTGATGCTATTATTTTTATAAAATGGCATTAAGAGAAAAAGAAAAACCAAAGGTGAATGAAGTTGGTTGCCATGTACAAGGAAGCATCCACTGACTCATGCACGTTCCCTCACTGACACAGGCACACAGGTCAGGTGTGGTGGCACACATCTGTAATCCCAGCACTTGGGAGACTTACGAGAATCACAAGTTCAGGGAGGCCTGAACTACCTAGCAGGAACCTGTCTCAAAGAAACAAAGCAAAACAAAAACACAGATACCACACATGCACGCACTTGTGAAAAACACTAATTACAACATGTGTTGTTGAATTTTAACATACACGCATCATGTATGACAAAAGTACAAAGGTGGGGGAGGAATGGAGCTCTGTTGGAATGAGATAATAATAATAATTAAAAAAGCAACTTTTAAAAGTATTAGAAAGATGGATGGGGATGTGGCTTAGTGATGCAGTGCCTGCCTGGCAAGGCATAAGTTTGATTCCTGGTACCAGAAAAAAACAAACAAACTAGGAATTAAAGAAGATACATAGAAAACAACAGCAAAATGGCAGCCCTCACTCCAGACATACACATAATAACATTAAATAGGAACGGATCAGACTGTTGGTAGTTTTTCTTCTCAATCCTTAAAATTTTTACTCCATCCTCTTATTGCGTGTATGCCTTCTGAAGGGAAGTCTGATGCAGTTCTTATCTTTACTCTTCCATTGGCAGTGTGTGCACCTATAACCCCTCCCTCCAGCCACCAGCTTCTTCAATTTTTTTTTCAGTATTTTTAACATTTGAAAATGGCATGCCTATGTGTTATTTGGGTGTACGTAGTACTGCTTGGTTCCCTCTTTTTTCTTCTCTGTCTGTCTCTTTCTCTCCCCTTTTCTTCTGACACAGTTTTGCTACACAGTCTAGGACAACCTTGAACTTATTATATAGCGGAAGCTGGCCTTGGACCAAGATCCTCCTGCCTCAGCCTCCTGAGTACTCAGATTATAGGAATGTGTTACCACAAAAGCCCAGCTTCCATTTATTTTTATGTTATACCTTTTGAAGTTGCCCCGCAGTTCTTGATTTTCTTCTTCCGCCTCCTCCATCTCCTCTTTTGTCTTTTGTTTTTCTGTTTTGGAGGCTTGTGTTGACACATCTTCAGGTTTAGAGGTTCTTCCATCAGCCGTGTGTCCTGTCTGTTACTGAGCCCAGCAAAGACCATCTTTACTGGGCCAGGGATTTAGCTCAGTGATGCCGCCACCCGCCTCTCAAGTATAAGGTCCCGAGTTTGATCCTGGTACCAAAAAACAAAAAAAAGAGATACTCTTAATTTCTGTTACACTGTTTTGATCTCTAGCATTTCTTTTTGGTTCTTTTTAAAAATTTCCATCTCTGCTTACACTGCTATCTGTTACTATCTGTTCTTGCATGCTGTCTGTTTTATCCACAAGAACCCTTAGCTCATTAGTCACTGTTATTTTAAATTCTTGGTCTGGTAATTCCTACATTTCTGCTACATCTGAGTCTGATTCTGACCTCTTCAAATGGATTTTTGGCTTTTAGTTTGTCTTGTAATTTTTTCTTGACAGTTGGACATGACGTGCTCAATGAAAGATTGTAGCAAATAGACCTTAAGTACGTGGTGGCCAGGTATGCCGAGGAGAAGTGTTGTGTAGTCCTGAGGTTAGGTCTCGGTCTTGGTGAGCCGTGCCCCTGGACTGTTCATTTCATAGATGCTTTGCAGTGTGTTCCTAGGTGGGACGGGATGGTGAGAGTGGGCTGGAGCTGGGTATTTCCCTTCTTCCACATTCTTCAAGACTAGAATGGGTTATAGTTGACTGTTTCCCAAGTTGAGAAGTCTCTGTCAAACCTTGGTAGGTTAGGCAGTATAGAATTGCTCGAGGGTGGCCCTGGCTCAGAGCATGTGCCTACATAGTGCGGAATGTGTGAGAAGGTTTTTCTCAGACTTCACTGTGAGAAGTTAGTAGAGCTTCTGGAGGTAAAACCCAACAAAGTGTGGGGGCTTCTGAGTCTGTACCCCTGGAGTTCTTTCTCTCAGACTTCCCTACAGCGAGCTTCCAGCAACTTTGCATTTATAGGTCAGATTTTCTTGCCCATTACTGGTTCCTCCTGCTCCAGGAGTGTCTATTTCAGTCAGTTGTAATTTTTTGTGTTCATGTCTCCCTCCCTGCTTTTGAGGGCAGCAGTTTACCTTATAACTGCCCTTCTCTGTCAGAGCTAAGAAAAGAGTTCCTGGGTTTTCAGTTTGTTCAGCTTTTTACTTAGAAGGGTATAACAATAAAGTCAAAGCATGTATGCCAGAACAGAAACTAATAGTCTCCCCTTTTCTTGTTGCCCGGCATTGTGGCACGCAGATAAGAAGCCCAAGGAGGCCTTGACTGCTGTGAGCAGGAGGAACCCTCGTTCTAGGCCTTCCTGCTGACCACAGTAAAACCCAAGCAGTGATCTGTCTGGCTCTCACACATTTTTGGACATGCTTGAGTACATGCTTGAGGACATGCCTTGGTCTCCCCAATAAGCTTCATATGTGTAACAAGTGTTTTCATAACTTTTTAGTGAAAGTTATCTGATCCAGCTTTCAAGCAAGGGATCCTCTCCTCTCTACGAAGTGGTCCTAATACCCGCTGTGTAGAAAATCCTAATGAATCAAGAAATCCATTGGAAGTAGTAAACAAGTTCAGTGAGATTGCAAGAAAATAATGTATCCACTATAACTGCACAGAACAATCAGAAAATGAAATTAAGACAATTCTCTCTGAAATAGCATCAAAGAGGATATAATTCTTGAGTATTTTCAAGAAAATTATAAAACATTAAAAAAGAAAGGGGGGAATGATTCCATTTTAATGGATATAAAGATTAAAAATTATTAAAAGAGCAAAAAATCATCAAACTGATACAGATCAGTACCCATCACAATCTCAGCTGCCTTAAAATATTCTTTGCACAAATGCACAAGCTGATTCTTTGGAGAAACAAAAGACATAGCCAAAATAATTTTGAAAAAGAAAACATAAAGTTGGAGGATGTGAACTTCCCGATTTCAAAACTTAACTACAAAACTATAGTAATGAAGACACTGAGGTTTTTGGCCTAGGATAAGTGTATAAATGAGTGTGACAGAAAAGAGAGTCCAGAAATCTATTGTCATATTTATGGTAAGTTGGCTTCTGCAGAGGTGCCAAATCAATTTAATTAGCAAAAAAGTTGAGGAAGAGTAGCCTTATCAAGTGGTGCTGGAATATTTACTTGCACAAGAGGTGAGCTTTGACCGTTACCACCTCCAGCTGTACACAAAAATTAAAAGGATCAAAGGTCTAAATGTAAGAGCTAAGACTGTAAAACTGTGGAAAGAAAACACAGGGACAGATTCTTGTAACCTTTGGTTAAGCAAAAGTTTAAACATACCAGACACTTAAAAAGGTGGATTTCATCAAAGTGCTTAAATTTTACATTTCAAAAGAAATTTATTATTAAGAAACTGGAATAATAAGCCAGACTGGGAGAAAATATTTGCAAATAAGGACTTGCATCCAGAATATACAAAGAACGCTTAACAATTCAGCAACAGGAAGACTATGCAGTTTAAGATTTGCAAAAGGTTCCAAGAAGCATTTCCCCATAGAAGCTACTGGAATGTCTGCCAAGCAAATGAAAAGACATTCAGCGTCATTCGTCATTAGGGATATTAAATTAAGCCCAGCAAGGCACCACTTGTACTCGCAAGAGTAGTTGTACTAAAAAGGCAAGTATAGATGGAGATGCAGCCACACTACAGCCTCCCTGCATTCCTCCTGACTGTCAATTGCTACAGTCACTTTGGAATGGAGTTTAGCAGTTCCTTAAATGCAATTCGCCATGCAGCGCAGCAGTCTCTGCCTAGGAATCTACTTGAGAAATGAAAATACGTTCACACAAAGATTTACATGTGAAGTTTTGTAGCAGCATTGTTCCCAACAGCCCAACTTTGAAACGTCTCGTTTACAGCTACGAGATGTGATGTCGTGTATCTGCTCAATGAGATGTTTTCAGCCGTAAGAGGGAATGAACTGATGTGCTACCATATACATAAACCTTAAAAACCTTGTTAAGAGAGAAGCAAGGCACAAGACAGTAATGTATGATTCCATTCACTAATGTCAAGAGCAGCTAAGTCTTTCAGCTGGAAAGTAAAGTAGCGATTGCCAGAGCTGGAGTTGGGGACCAGCAGTAACCGCAAATGGGCAGGAAGGATCTTTGTGTGAGGATGGAAGTGTTCTCGAATTGAGTTGTGGTGATGTTTGCACACTAAATGCAATTGAATCATTTTAATAAAAAATCATTGACTTGTACATTGAGAGTAACTTTGTGGTATGTAAATTATACCTCAATAAAAACTAAAATTACATGGACACAGGTGGGGGAAAGGCAATACTTTAGAAAGGAAGAAACAAAATCGTGTTTACAAATAATATTTTAAATGGCTGAAAAATTATTAATATTCTAATCAGTGAAGTGTATGTATGGAAATGGCCTTTTTATAGCATGACAATTCTTTGAAAAATAAAGTTATCTTTATAAGAATAAAAATGAACATAAATTTAGTAAAGGTACAACTATGAAGAAAATTACAAGTTAGCACAATAAAAATAGGAAACAGTTTACAATTTACAATTTTACAGTTTACAATTAACTCCTAGTTTAGAAATTGAAGGCAATTCAAATCAAAACTATAGTTTTTGTTTTTTGGGTTTTTTTTTGTGAGGCAGGTGGTGACAAAACTATACATTTTTAAAAGAACTTGATACAGTGTTTAAAGTTGACTCCGTGATCAAAAAAACTTCATAACAATGAAGAGATCTTGCAAGCGCCAGAAACTAAAATTTATATGAAATTGTTAACTAGAACAGTGGGTGGGCTGGGGATTTAGCTCAGTGGTTTCGACACCTGCTTCACAAGCGCAAGGACCCGAGTTCGATCCCCAGTACCAAAAAGAAAAATATTGTAGGGGAAAGGAAATAAGGGGAAAAAAATGTGAGAAAATGAAAAAATGGAAAAAAAAGTTTTAGTAAATAGGGGAGCGTGGAGGGGGTGAAGGGAGGACAGGGGTATGGGGAAAAAATGGGAACCAAGACCTGTTATGTAAAGGTACAAGACCTCAATGATGAATGTAACTACTGTATACCTAAAATGTACCAATAAACTCAATGAGAGAAAAAAAAAGTAGAACAATGGGCATATTGACAGAACTGTAGAATATACCTCAAAGATCAGGAACAAAACCAAGAATTGACAGTTACAGACTGATACAATTAGGAGCTGCCTGGAAAATTACAACCTTATCCAATACAACAAAATAAATTAAGCTTAATTAAATTGCTTCTGTTAAAAATCTACAAAGTACTAGGAGAAAAACATGTATCAGACTTCTGAGTGGGAAGATACTAAGTATGTGTATGTATGTGTATATTCATATATTTTTAAACCAAAAAGTTAAGCTATATAGGAAATGATTAAACTTAACAACAAATATTTTAATTTTTCTATGTCATAAATACTACAGAGAACATTAAATGTACACATTAAGTGTAATGTGTGCAGGTAAAACCCTCAGTAAAAACCCTGTGTAGCTAGGCATGATGGTGTATGCCTGTAATCCCAGGGCATGTAATCCCATGCACAGGGCAGGAGGATTGCAAGTACAAGGCCAGCCTGGGCACTTGAAACCCTGTCTCAGAAAAGGAGAGTGTTGGCTGCGGGTGTAGCTCAGTGGTAGACTGATTGCCTAGCTTTCACAAAGCCCAAAGTTCTGTCGGTACTGTTTATAAAACAAAACAAAACCACCCTTTATATATTAAAAAGAAATGGCACTGTAATTGGAGTTCACATCAGTACCTTCTTTTCCCCAGTGTAAAACCTAGCTGGAAATAATATCCTTGTAGGACAAAGATAGGCTGATTGGGGCTGGCAGTTTGGGGTGGGGGGGCATTTTCTAGCTCTAGCTTTCAAGGCTGATTATTTCCAGCTAGGTCTTATTTTCAGGGAAATACAGTGGCACAGTTAACTTGTAAACTCAAGAGAGAACAACTGGCTTCCTATTCTAATCAGAGAAGCACAAATTAGTTATCATTTTTGGCCTATCAAATTGTAAAAAGAGCATGAACTTGCATACTTTTAATGGAAAAGCAGTCTGGTCATTTAAAATCAGAAGCCTTAGAAATGTTTATACCTTAGTGCCAGAAATTCCATTTGTGTGAATTCACTTTAAGGAAACCAATAAAATGTATAAAGACTTAGGTGCGGGTGTTATCATTACACCTTTATTTATAGCATCCATAAATAAAAAATGTGTATTGAATAAAAGTTACATTCATGCAGTAGACTCATATGGCAGAAAATTAGTGATATAACATTTAATAATATGTTCAGCGAAAATAAAAAATTTAATAAGTACATCCCCTGTTTTCTAAAACAAATTTTTTAAACAAAGACCAATCTAAGTAGTTAGATGAAAGGTGATTTTTGTGCTTGTTCATTTAGAAAATTTTTAAAAATGAATATATTTAAAGAAAATTATGTCTCCAAAATGTTTTTTTTTTTTTCTTCAAATGTTGGTCTTTAAAAAATGTTACCCCCTGAGATAGTGTTAGTTTTCATTGTGCGTAGTCAAAGAGGAAAATGGGTGAGCAGGAAAGAGGTGCATCTCCTATCTGGCCACCGGGTGGCATTGTAGGCCAAATGCTGCCTATTCTACAGACCCGCTCAGTAACAGCTCAGTAACAGCTCACAGTACTAGTGGAGGCAGGCAGAAGCCGGCAGAGGTCGAGGGAAAACCTAAGCCCCTGGGTCTAGTGAAGTTGTTTTGCGGGGAGGATCTTTCCTTGAAGAAGGAAGATATGAAAGAGAGTGGAACAAACTGCAGGTTTTTAAGGGAAAACCCACAAAAATGAAGCAGGAATGAGAAGAGTTTGACTCCTTAGAACTACTGAGGAGTTTTGTATGTGTGTGAAAGGGACATTTCTTCCTTTGAGTCTGTGAGGTAGATGGGAAGCTATCTGTGTGGGCACTTTACAGAGTCAGGAAAGCCAGGCTGTGGTGCTCTATTAATGCTGACTTTAGAAAGCTCGCTTAGGTTGGCTGTGTTATTATGGAAAGGAAATTTTAAGTGGAATTCTGGTAATTTAAAAGTAACAATACTATACTTTTCTTTTCAAATAGCTGTCACAGGAAGTCTTTTCAGAATAAACTTAGGCTTGCGAGGCTTGGTGGCTGGTGGTATAATTGGAGCCTTGTTGGGGTAAGTGTTAACATGGTTTGATTCCACATTGGTGTGTTTTTTAATACCTTGCCTATTAAAAATCAGATTCTCCAGATGTGCTACACACCTGTAATCCCAGCACTCTGGGAGACTGAGGCAGGAGGATTACCACTTTGAGCCCAGCCTGGGCAATTTAGTGATTTAGTGAGACTCTGTCTCAATAAAACTAAAGAAGGGCTGGGTGTAGTGCAGTACAAAGGCCTTGGGTTCAACACCCAGTACTTCAGTAATTTTTTTGTTTTGTTTATTTCCTAAGAAAAAAATTGAATCCCAAGCTGATGAAAGATTTTTAATCTTATATTGGTGGTAACTTTGTCTGGTTGTAATTCTATCCTGTTTGTTACTCACAGTTATCACAATAAATAATTTAACATTGATTGAATATAATTCTGTTAAAATAGGGTCTGTATTCAAAATTAATTACAACAATAATGCCAGGATGTGCCTCGATTTTTTTATTGGCCCCTCATGATTACATTTAGGCTAAATGTTCTTACCAGGAATGACAGCAGAGCAGAAGCTGTGCTTTCACCGTTTTGCCATGAAGAGCCACATTATGTTGCCTGATATGAGTAACACTTAAGTATTTGTTTTTCTCTTTCCAGTACTGGGGATCGAACCTTTCACTTACCAGGCAGGCACGGCACCACCAAGCTAAATCCCCGGCCCCCCAAGTGCTTGTTATCTTGGTTTCGTGTTACTGTCTAACAAATTGACCCTGCAGCTTTGCAGATCAGAAGTCTGGGTGCTCCGAATAGGTTCTTTGCTCAGGGTTTCTCGAGGTCCAGAGCACGATGCTGATCAGGCTGCTTCTGACCCGGAGGCTCTGGGGTGGAATCTGCTTTCAGGCTCCTGAAAGGAGTTTGTTGACAGGTCCACTTTATGGGACTCCAGTCTGGAGTCCCTGCTCCCTTGCTGGCTGTCGACCAGGCTGGGATCTCTCTATCCCTGGAGGCCACTCATATTCCTTCACATGGGCCCCAGCTGTGTTCAGGCCAGGAGTGGTACCTGGAACCCTTGACAGACTTTGAACCTTCTACTTCCACTCTGTCTGAGGAAGCTGCTTTGTATTTATTGTCTGCTTATTTCTTTACTTGTTTCATTGTTTTGGGGGTTTTTGAGACAGGATCTCGAAATATACTCCAGGCTGGCTTTCCCCTTGGTACAAAGCCCAGGGTAGGCTCTAACTTTCGATCGTCCTGTCTCAGCCTCCTGAGTGTCAGGATTATAGGTGTCTGCTACCACACCCCAACTACATTTTCTTTATCCACTCTGTGGATGGATGTGTATGAGTTGCTTCCACTTAGCAAAACTTGTTTTCCAATGAAAATAAGTGGTACCAAAACGAATTTAAGTTATACCAAAGTCAAAAACTCTCTTCAAGAGCCCAAAGAAGCAAATTCTCCCTATCACTGTAATAGTTAAATTAGTCCCTTAGTGTGTTACTGTTGGCTTTGCAGCTGAGACAGTTGTGCCAAAGTCTTGATTTGTAGGATGATTTGGTAGCTTTGTCCCTCAGAGCTGATAGCATCTGTCCCCTAACGAAGCATGCCTTCTGCCCTTCCTGTCCCCTGGGGCACTGGTACCCTAGTGAACTAGTCACTTCATCTCTGTGAAGGCTTCCATTTGGACCTGCTTCTGAGAACTGGTCTTAAATGTATGTATTCCTTCTGTGTCCTGGTTTACTTCTTGTTCATGATTTTTAAAAAGCCAATTTCTACATTTTCTTTTTTTTTTTTAATTTTTCTTTTATTTATTTATTTATTTTGGGGTTTTTTTTGAGACAGGTTCTCACTGTGTATTTCAGACTGACCTGGAACTCACTATGTAGCCCAGGCTGCTCTCGAACTCACAGCGATCCTCCTGCCTCAGCCTCCTGAGTGCTGGGATTACAGATGTGCACCACCATGCCCGGCTCTAGATTTTCTTATTTTTAATTCCAGTGAATATTAAGAAGTTGTAGTTGTCTCTGTTGTTTGGGCCAGGAAGGAGATTGTCTTAATATTTTTTTTTTTTGGTACCAGGGATCAAACTCGGGTCCTCACACTTGCGAGGCAGGTAGCAGAACCACTGAGCTAAAACCCAGCCCTGTCTTCATATTTTTTGATTTGACAAGGACACTTTATCCAGTGGTGAGCAAGTGGCTCGGTGGTATGGAGTAGTCCCAGTGGTCAGTCTCGGGCCTGAGAGTCTGTGGTCCCTGAACTCTCACTCTGCTCTCCCCAGCACTCCTATGGGAAGCCTGTGGATGGTGCTTCAGAAGTACTGTGGCGAGACAGTTCAGGAAATGAAGCAGAAGGATCAACAGGCCCAGCAGGAGCAGAAGCTGGCAGAGTGGTAAGCAGCTGTGAAGACCAGCGTCCCCACAAGTGTCTTACTGCGCATGCTCTCCTAACCTGGGTGCCCCAGATTGCCACTCAGCTCAAAGATACCCTTCCTGTCTTTTCATCTGTTTAATTAGGGAGGATGGAAAAATGAAAGGCACTAATTCTACTTTTAATCCGATGAAGATCTTTAGACCTTTTTTTAAAAAAGAGTTAAAATGTAGGCTGGGGATGCAGCTCAGCATCACTGCATCTGCCTGACAAGCACACAAGGTCTTGAGTTCGATTCCCGGTACTAGAAGAAAACAGTTAAGATGCTATAAATATATTTGGTTGCGTTTTTCTTTTCTTTCCTTGTGTTCTTAGCTGTGTAGGAAATTACCTCTAAAGGGAACACACACCAAGGAGTGAACCTCTCTTGTCTTGTGTAGAAAATGATACCCCCTATATTGCTGACACAGCAGCGCATGCTAAGTCTCTGCATTCAGAACTTCTACCTCCTGCCACAGACTGAGAGGAGAGAAGTGGACACGGTGGCTGTCTGTGGAAGGGATGCCACTGAGGGGCTTGGAAACTTGCCTGCTCCACCTGGTCATTTCCTGGGTTGAGTAATCTCCATTTTCTGGGAAAGGGTAATGAGACTGATGCGGACTGCGGATTCTTGGTAAGATCAGAATGATGGGCTGCTGTCTAGGGTACCTGGTACACGCCCGGTAGAAATCATTCTCACAGGTCAGCTTCCTGGGTACCCACGAGGACTACTGCTGCTGCTGTCCCTGTAACTGCGAAGATGAGCACTCATGTTTTCCATTGATTTTATTTGAAATCTCTATTTGTGTTACACACACACACGGAAATTATTAACATCTATAGTTCATTTGTACGAGGACTGAAGTTCTGTAAGAGAAAAAGCACTGATTTTAGAGCCAGTGAATTCTTGAAAACTGTGCTTGCCTCCCATCTAGACTGTGGATTAGTTCTGTGACCTTATTTTCCTGAACTTCAAGCCCTTAATTTTTTTCAGCTGCTCTGAAACACAACACCCAGTAATTGTTTTGTTTCTTCTTCTTTGTGGTCTCAGGGTGAGTGGGGGGGGGTCAGCTTTAGAATGGAGTACTTAAAATTGTCAGTGGCAACAAAATTGAGAATTATGGAAAATTAAAAGTACAAAAGCATCAGTTTATTTCCCGTTTTTCTAGGTGTCAGAATCTTTTTTGATATGGAATTTTCGAGAAAGAGGTTAGAAAGGAAAGCAAAAATTTGGCTATTTGTCTCTGATGTAGGATATTATGGGGAAATTTAATATTTTGGAAAATATGAACAAATGATAACTATATTCTAATAAAAGGGAAGTGAGAAAACCTGCAAAAGTTACCTAGTGATTTACAGATTTAAAACATTAAGAATGGGTGAAAGCAATAACTAATTATAGTGGTACCTCAATTCATGAACTGAATTTGTTCCACATTTCTGGAGAAGATGGCCATTGTTGTGTTTGTTACCCAGTGCAGAATTCGAAAAGAAAAAATTTTGCCAGATGCTTCTGTTTATGAACCTGTTTGCAAACAAAAGCACTCATGAACTGAGGTACCACCATATAGTAAAGAAGGAATCTTTTGGCTAAAAGAAATAGTGTTAAAAAAGATACTTTTACAGATGTGTGGTATTTGTATGTGTGTGTGTTATTTCTAAGGAGAGTTAGTTCAGTACATGTTTCAGTACCTTCAATGCATCTGAAGCTTTGCTTGAAAATAGTAGAGGGAAATCGGAGTTTCAGAAATTGGCTTACTTAGCAGAAAATGTAGAAAACTGGTTATAGAGACATGGAAGGAGAAATGGTCAGATCTGGTTGAGCTGAGCTGATAAGAAAGTTGTAGGATGATAGTCACTTAAAGGAAGATACAGTACTAATAGTTGATTAGAAAAAGAAGTGCTCTATTACTTGGAAATTAGATTCTAACTCTTCATAAATATGCATCTATAGTGTTGTCCAACCTGGCTTTTCTTTTTCTGGATCACCACTGTTAACAGCTTTTGTCTAGTTCGTACAGAGTCCATTGAGAATCTATAGAGTGGCAGGGTGCTCACATCCCCCAGCTCCGAGGCCAAGAGGACAGCCTGACCTGGAGACTTACACAGGGTGTGTCCACTTCCTTACACCTGCCGTGAGCACTCTGGACACGGTATTTGGAATGTGTTAGGGATCAGAGCCACTATCAAGACAGTGTCCATTTTGGTGATGTGGAAGCTGTGGTTGGCTTGTGTCTTGGTTGGCTTTCCATTGCTGTGACAGGATAGCTAAGAAAAACAAAGGTGGGAAGACTTATTTTGGATCATGGTTTCAGAGGTTTTAGTTGGTGGTCGACTGGCTCCATTACTTGGAGGCCTGCACTGGGGTAGAAGAATCATGGTGGGAGGTGTGACATCCAGGAAGAGTGAGAGAACCAGAAAGGAAGCCGTACTTCAGGGCGTGCTCTCTGCTGAGGCCTGAGCCCCTCAGAAGCCCACTCACTGATGAGTTCATTGACGCGTTATCCAGTCACTTCCCACAGCCCATCAGCGGCCAAGCCTTCAGGGTGAGCCTTTTGGGGGAACATTCTGGATCCCGGCCGTAGCAGCTTGTGAGTACTGTTGGAAAGAAAAGAAAGTCATTGTGTTTGAAGGGCAGGCAGTGTTGGCTGCTCCTCAGTTGTCATATGAAAGCAGGGACAGTAGGACAAATACTGCCCTTCTGTTTTAAATCTCTCTGAGAACGTTTACTTCTTTTATTCTAGGAGAGCCAGACTGCAGTTCACTGAGTTGCTCCCTGAGGATATCGAAAGTCGTTTGCAGAAAAATCAATCCCAGGATGATGCTAAGAAAATCAAAGCCCTGCTGAGCCTCCCGAGAAACCCTTCATCACCAGATAAACAAGGCGAGGACTGAGAACACTCTGGAATTGAAGCCCGAGGGGGAGTTGAGAGCAGCTGTGTGGCCGCGTCCGTGGGTGCTGGTACCGCGCCATTCTTAGGTCAGCCTGTGACAGGCGTGAGTGCTGGTGACTGGTGGTAGGGACTTGTGCTTATTTTTTGAATCAAGAATTGGACTACTGTGCTCTCATTTTATTTATCCTTAAATTTAAATTCATCCTTAATCTCTGTTGATCTATTGATAGATCTATATACTTAGATTTCTTTACCTCGATCTTATAAAAGTGACTAAAACTTTTCCTAAAAGATTAAAGCTGAACCCCACAGGTTTTCCATCTGCTCACGTGGTCCTTGGAAAGTGTTCTCTGGGAATGACCAGGAGGTGCGGAGGGAACTGGCCCCAGAAGGGATGAAGGCCCAAATGCATGGTAGCATCGGCCTTGTTTTGGTAAGGATCAAAGATGATGCCTGTGCCGCTTGAACTAAAATAGAAATTTAACAAAAAGGAAGTAGGTCAGCGTTACAACAGGCACTGCAGCTTTCAAGGTATTGATGCTGTAGCATGCAAGAGCTGCTGGGAGAGCACCATTCCGGCACTCGGGAGCTTGCTGCCAAAGAAGGAAGATACTCTGGGAGTTTGAGCTATAGTAGGAGACAAATGATGGACTGAAGTCTACATCAGCCCCCTCACTGATGCGGTTTTCTTTCCACAGTTGGGTTACTGTGGTCCAAAAATATTGAATGAAAAATTCCAGAAATAAGCCATAAATTTTAAATGATGTGCCTTCGTGTGTGTGTGTGTGTGTGTGTGTGTGTGTGTGACTGGAGATTGAACCCAGAGCCTTGTGCATACTAGGCAAGTGCTTTGCCACCAGACACCCCCAGGCTCAGTCATATGCCTTGCTGAACAGCATGGTAGAATTCAGGCCGTGCTCCTGGATGGGTGCATCATTCCTGTGTCCAGCACGTTTACACTGTATATGCTCTTCAGTCAGATCACAGTGCCTGTGGTCAGGTAACCCTTGGGTCACTTAGGGATGGCTGCAAAATACAAAGCTAGCAACGCCAGCCATTGAGATGTGCCAGAGAGAAGTGGGAGAGCAGTTCCTACAAGCAAAAAGGTGAACGTTCTGGGTGTATGTGCTACACCTGTACTTCTAGCATCCACTGTGGGGTCTTGGAATGTCTGCCCCCCAGACGAGGGAGAGGGCTGCTGCACTGGAGAAAACCTGCTGGTACTTCATTTTGGTGTTGGACCTCTCTGCTTCTACACTTCTACTCTTATCCCATAGGAGCAAGCATAATGTAGAAGCTAAAACCATACTCTCAAGAGGCAGACCACTGGCTCTCGGGCACGCAGTTTAGTAGCCATGTGACACAGCAAAGCTGTGGTCCTTTAAGTCTCAGTTTTCTCGTCTGCCAAGTGAAACGGTGTCTACTCAAGGGGTTATTAAGTTATTTCTGCTCCCTGCGGTGCCATGACACATATATTTGGTCTCTGTCCCCGATGTGCAATGGTTGAAGTCCCCGCAGTCTCTGAAGGGACAGCGTCCCTGTGTGTGCTGAGGTGAAGGATGGCTGGCAGCCCCCCCGGGACCCAGAGACCAGCACAGTGAGAGCTGGGCACATGCAGTCCTGCCCTAAAAACTGGTAAGGGGAGGGAAGCAAAGGGTGAGTTGACCACGAGTGGCCAAATATTTTGTCTGTCGTTCATGTGTAATCATGCTTCCATCTAAACCCAAAAAGGCAGGGTTCAGAGAGCCTCCGGACAGCTGAACACGGAGTTTCCTGGGGGGTGGGCTTTGCAGATTGAGAGGAAGAGGACATAACCCTCTCCCCAGACCTTGCCCAATGTACCTGTACCTCTGTATCCTTCACTAATATCCTTTATAATAAACCAGTAAACATGTTTCCCTGAGGTCTTTGAGCCACTCAAGCAAATCAGGGAAACCCAAGAATGGGCCTGTGGAACCTAGCTTCATAGTGATTGTCCAGAAGCACGAGTAAAGCCACCTGGGGCTCACGACTGGCATCTAAGGTGGGGGCAGTCGTAAGAGACTAAGCCCTCAACCATGGGACCCTGTGCCACTCCTGGTAGACCCTGTCAGAACTGAATTGGATTAGAGAACATCCATTTTTTGGCCCCTGCAGAATGAACTACTTGCTTTCTGGTGGAGAGAAATCTCCATAGCTTTTGAGGTCACAAGAATGTGTTGATCAGTGTGAGAGTAGAGGGGAAAAAAACACTCCAACAGAAAAGCATTAAGCCCGATGCCCTAGCACCCAGGGATTATATAATAAGTATTAGTAGCTAAAGATATGAAGGCTTCTGTGCCACTATATTGCCTCTATGATTTACAGGTTACTGCTCCACTCCATAAGGTGTGTTTTTCCTAAATTTATAAATTGCTGACAAATTGGCAGCATCCTAGTCACAATCTGTTCCATGTTAAATCCTTTCAACTAGAAATTATAAAACTAGAGAACTGCTTTTAAAAATAAGTTTATTCATATCACAAAAACAATAATAAAAGTATAACTTTTAAAAAGTAAAACTAATACATTTATCAAATGTAATAAGTAATTTATTTTATTTACTAAGCTGTTCCTTAGGCTTAACTTTATGAGTAATTATTTTTCAGGTGTTCTTTTGATTACATCTAAGGATTTTTGAATCGTAGTTCCATGCTGTAGTTCCTGGGTTTTTTGGTGTTTGTTTTTCTTGCTTTTAAATTCTTTATTTTCTTCAGTGACTTAGTTCTGAGCAGACCTTTTTTTTTTTTTTTTTTTTTTTTTGTACTGGGGATCAAACTCAGGACCTTGCCCTTGCAAGACAGGTGGCAGAACCACTGAGCTAAATCCCCTTCCCCTGAGCAGACCCATTTTTTAAAACCATACCTTCCTTTCTTAAGCTGTAGAGCAGAATCTGTCCCCCTTAGAGCTACCAAAATGAAACATTTTAAACTCCAGCCACATTTGAGGAACTTCCTGTCCAGCCACATTTTTCAGATGAGAAGATCTCGTCCCAGTTTCGGTTGGGTCCCCTCCTAGTCCACAAGTTGTGGAAGGACTTTTCAGAAAGAGAAGTGGGAATGACATAGGAACCGCAGTTGTCTCCTTCTTGCCTTTGAATTCTCTACTGATGTTAGAGGACCCAGAAATATAAAAGAGGTCTGAGGAGGCCCTAAATCACGTGCATCATGTATTTCTGAAGACAGCTTAGTACCCAGTACACACACAGTAAAAAAACGATCTCATCTTAGGAGACCTTTCTCATGAGTATTTAACAAATGAGACCATACTAGCCTCAAGCTGTGTAAAGAGGTTATCAGTCCAATATGAACCATAGACTGTGAGTATTTATTTAAACTCTCCCTCTCCAATCTCACTATTGCTTTGGGGGATGAAAGGTACCATCTGTATTATCTCTTAAGGAAATCTTCTGTGTAGTTCACTGAAGAAGGGAAAGAACACCAGGAAATCTGTGTTCCAGCTCCGGCCTTCACGAAGCCCCTTCCTTGGGCCTTAGTATTCTCCCTGCTGGACATGAAGAACTCTTCACTTATAAGTCCTGCTGTCAAGGTCACCGGAGCTACTGTGGTGCCCATGCAGTGTTGCACTAGTTTGCTTATGCAGAGCACGGAAGGGAAGAGTTTTGTCCTGGAGCACAGGCAGGATCGTCCTGGCTGTCTGAAGAAGTTTCTGGAAGAGATCATCACAGATACAGGCGGGACCTGTGGAAATAATGAATAAAGCCCTAAATTTGCAAGAGAGAACATAATAAAATTGTATATAGTTTTTATCTTAAAGCCAAATATATTCCAACTTGAGAACATTGTAGATATCAGTCTTCCCAGCTGGAGAATATGAAGGAAGATAGAGAATTTAGAACAGTCTAATCTTTACTACGTGAACTACTTATCAAGCAAATGTTCACATACTAGCTATCACCAAAGAGCAAAATGCTGTCCGTCAAGTCACTCCTCTCTGTGGGGTAAGGCTGCTCTTCTCAATAAGCCTACAGTCTAGGAAACGGTATAAAACAGATCATGAAAATAAACCCAAGGTGGTGGTGCTGTTCTACATAGAAGTTCAGAGGTAGAATCGCTTTAACTTGTCAAAGCGGCCACATGCGTCTTTATGTAGAAGACTGGACTGATGGCTTCATTATGAAGTTTATTTAATAGCCCATTTCCTTTTTATTTTTTTATTTTTTTATTTTTTTAAATTTTGAGACTGAGGCTTGTCAAGTTGCTAAGTTACCTTGACTGAGCTCAAACTTGTGATCCTCCTGCCTCAGCCTCTCAGAGTGCTGGAATTACAGGTGTGCGCCTCCCTGCCCTGCTGAGCAGAAGACTTGAAGATTGAGGGAAAGTTAAGGAAATTCTATCTAGAGGGAGAGGAGCATCCTGAAAGTGAGCAATTATGTTGAAATGAAAACGGGATGGGAATTGCAGACTGCTTTGGACCAAGTACCAACAGACTGCTGTGTCACGGTGTGGGAGTCAGGGCCTGAAGCCCTGTGAGTCCGGCTTGGCTCCTGGTCTGTGCGACCTCGCGCACCTCTCTCAGCCTCTGGGCACTTCTGGTTTCTCTCCCATAAAGGGTGTAGGAAAAAAATCACATTTTTTGTAAGATTAAGATGAAACAGTGCTTTTGCAAAACATGAAAAGGGGTTATTTTTCATTTTCCCTTATTTTTTAAAGGCAGTTTAGCAGACTGATTTCTTATGCTGGTGTTACCCTAAACTCGCCAAGCCGAAGCTAGACTGTTTATAGATGTTATAACTACACAGGCCTGCTGTCAGTCTCAGACTTCAGTGCTCTCATTTCTCTTACATGAAAACACCAGGGGGTTAGAAGAACACTAAGACGATTTAAGTTAACAGTGTGACTGTCGCCAAAGCTAATGCAGTGTTACCTCTTTTGTTCGAGACAGGAATTTTCCCATTGCATGTGGAGTCAGCAAGACCAGTTCTAAGTCTTGGACTCTAGTCACTGTGTCCAAGGTGTTCATGTGAAGTGTCTGGGAACTGCTGTGGGAAGAACAGTGGAACGGTGGAGAGAACTAAGGATCCACGGACTAGAGGGATTCACTGGAATGTTAAAAGTTTTGAAATTTTTTCTGTAACCTCTGAGATGTTTGATTGCGAAAGTAACACAAAGGAATAATTCTTTATGAAATCTGGCTCAGTGGTTGGTCAGGAGGGTCAGTGTGCCAGGGAGGGGCAGAGAAATAAAAAATGGTGTTACCACGTTGGTACAAAATGATCTGAATCTGCGTCCATCAATAGAGATACAAGGGAAAGTGATCAGGATAAGAAGGCAGCCCAGGAATATTACTTCAGTGTTTCATAGATAATGAAAGCTTAAGATGGCTACCATGTTGAGCTTAACATGACCGAATGGCACAATGAAGAAAGAGGTTACAAAGGGCACTGTGCACATGGGGAGAAAGGAGAAGGGTGTCAAGTATCCTGTATCTGTTTAAAGTAATACCAAGGAAGTTTTCGAGAATGTGAGGTGACAGGTGAAAGAGCTCAAATTTGGTCATCCACACGATCACATGTTCACAGTTGGTTAAGATTTGCTAAGGGAAGTTACCTTCAGACATTCCGTCCAGCCTGATGCTTCTCCGGTTTGATATAGATCGTCCTTATTTGCAATCGTGCCTCATTCCTTCTTCTCTCTCTCCATTTTAGGGCAAATCCTTGGAGATAAGTATGAACAACAAAATTGTTAGGTGAGTTAATTTCAGCAAGCGTTCAGGCTGTGTTAGGCAGAGCAATACCCTGGTGATGCCTGGAGACATTTTTTGATTGCCACATTGGGGCAAGAGATGCTGCTGACACCCAGAGAGTAAAGGCCAGGGAAATTGCTAAAGATCCTGTAATTCACAGACTAGCTCTAAAACAAGCTCAGTATCATGGCCCATGCCTATAATCCCAGCCCCAGGGAGACAGATAAGGGAATCCAGAGTTTGAAATCAGCCTGGGGTAAAAAGAGACCCCATCGGAAAAAAAAAATTATGTAGCCCACAATGTCACTGGTAATAGTGCTAAGGATAAGAACCCTGAATCAGAGGGTAGCAAAGGGTAGTTTACATCAGAAACACCTCAAGTTCTCCAGAATCCTTTATTCTACCCATGAGATGGGATGCTCAGAGTATCAGCACTAGTGCCTTCCCTGAGCTTTGCTATTGTGTGTATGTGTGTGTGCAGTGAAGGTTTGGGAGATCAAGAGATGTTGACCCTCTAATTTTCTTTGTTCATTGTACATAATTTCCACTCTACAAAGAATTGGTAATAACGTAGTGATTACAGCCATCGTTTCATGATGATCACAAGTATACCTCAGACCTAGAAGGTCCTCTTTTCTTAATCACAAAGATTGAAAGCAGGATATGTGTAGGTCAAAAATTTAAATTGATAGGGTAAAATACCCTAGACTTCTTCTCATCAACCACTCCTCATCTTTCGTCCAAAAATGTGTTTTGAAGAATTGAAAATTGGTAAAAATATTTGCGGCTGTGTAATTCATCAGTTATATTAGTGCATCTTGTCTCTCCAGGAAAATGATTCTTGCCTCCCTATTCTGGGTCATTCTGCCTTTCCTCAGGCTCCAAACCAAAGATAAGAATATCAGCTTCAGAGATGTTTTCAAATTAGTCAGCAAGCCTCCAGGTCTCTGAGAAGATACGAAAAATAAAAACACTAAACTAGAATGCATCTTAGGGGCAGTGATTTCTTGTCTCTGTAACTCCAGTGCCTAGGAGAATGCCAAGCATTTAAGGTATTTAATATTTGTCCGACGACTGAACAGAAATGGCTGAGACACACTGCCTTCAATTGCTGCAAATATGGGAAGAGAACAGGTTGGAACAGAGGTGCTGGAACAGACTGATGGGCCTGGGCGTCCATGAGCTGCCATCGGGATGACAGAAAGGTAGTACTTACTACTGCAGGCCAGGGCCCCGAATACAATGACCAGAAACACAGCTGCTGTACTCAGGCAGGTCATCGACACGGAGAACTGATCGTTGCGATTGTCAGGACCGTCTTGCTGCTGGGCTGTGGAGGGAATGAATTGTGTGACCTATAGTTTCCTACCGCTTGGCTCCCTTCCTATGTATCTTCTCCACGAACCTGCAGAGAATTTCTCACGTCTTTGCCTGGTCAGCTCACAATACACAGCTGCTAGTATTTTTCTGGCATGTCTTCTTCAGTCACACACCATACTATGGGCAACTAATGGTCAAATATCAGATATTGAATATAAAAAGGACAATCTGAACTTTTGCATTTACGACGTTGGCATAAGAATCTAAAGAGATGCTTTAAAGCCTTCTTGTCATTATAACACATTTTTATAGCATATAGAGCTACCAGAGTCACTTGGCATTCCCTTTAAGGGCGCATGTTTTCCACCATCACCATTAGCATCCTGGGAGGACAGAAGAGGCCCAGTGAAGAACTAACGGTGGGTGTACCTTGGTATGAGGTGGGGGTTACTTGAAGAGAGTGTTGCAGGCTCCTCAAGGAGCACAAGGGGGCATGAGGAAAAAAATGGGTGGGTGAACAAAGATTTGTGTATGTGGTGTTGCCATCCGTCCCTCTCACTCAAGCGTAGCAACTACGCCATTTATTTTTTGACTCCCTTGGAGTTAGCAACAAGACCTGGAGGAAGGGTGGGATAGAAATTGAAAGGCACTTTAAAAGCTCATCTTTTTAGGGTGTCTCTGGCATGACTTACAAATACATTTTAAACATTTACCAACTTGGTTCTTCACTTTTCTGATTACCAAGGCTGATGTGTAAACTTTGACCTTTAGCTTATTGGACTTCTCATCAGCAGCTGACCCACAGTTGCCTCTTCTTGACTCCTAAGACACCCTACCCTTCTGTTCCAGTTTTTCTGCATTCAGTTTTCTTTTTAGGCTTTTCTTTTTTCCTCGCCCTTTAAGTATTGTACTTATCATGTTCTTCCTGGGGCCCCTACCTGCCCAGGTAGCCTCATCCATACCAAAGACTTGAAATGCTGCCAGATTTCTAAATTTGTGTACAGTATTGGTGATCTCATTTCTGAGCACCAGGTTGTGTAGTCACAGCCGCAGGCTAGGATGGCTGGGAGCCAGTTTCTCCCCCTGCTGGAACTGAATCCACCATATTCTTTCCAAAGCATATCTACCACCTGCATTCATTCACTGCAACAGACGGCATCACTATTAGTTACCCATATCAGAGAGACAGACTCTTTGTTCTCATTCCCCAGTAGGCTCCCATGTACTTTCTATTGCTACATTCAGAAAATCTCGGATACTATTTGCTTTTCACAAATCCCTTGCAACAACTGCCTTAGTTTAGATTTTTCTCATCTTCTACCTAGTAGCCTTCAAGCTGTTCTCTTTGCCTCAGGCGTCCTGGGCTACAATAATTCCTGCACAATGCCATTACAATCATTATTCTAAAATGCATATCTGCATGTAGATGCTTGCCGCTTACAAATTAGGAAAAGCTGCCTTCTCCTTTTTCCTAGAACACCAGATTGCAAGGAGACATCAAGGGATTCCCGGGGTTCGCCGCTACAGGCCAGGACGACGTATTAAATGATATATATATAAGAGTCCTCACAGATGCCTTGGAGGCACAGAAGCTTCAGGCACTGGCTTACTCCTGGCTTCCTTTCAGAGACACATCCCACCCACTCTGGAACCTCATTCCTCCCAGAGAAGCAATGCATGTGTGAAGGAAAGAAGGAACCAGACACCGCCAAGGGCCTTCTGCCTTTTAGAAACCTCTTAACACACCGCAGCGTCAGACCCATGATGCAAAGTGCACAGCTGTGAGAGGCCTCTGCGTGGAAAGCTCACACTAGGGATCACAACTCGGGCTGCCTGGTTCACCTCTTTCCAGTTTATCAAGGGTTAATAGCTTCAGCTAAACTAAAAGAACCTTATACTAAATCTGATAATGCATTTGATGTTTCCCATATCAAGAATTTATGTACCAAATATTCACCATAATCTTTTAACATCTTAAGAACTATACACCTGATGAGTGTTTGTACTACTAGCCCTCGACACCCACACATGGGCTATTTGCTTTTAACTCTTACTGTAATGATACTTGCAGTCCAATTAGTGTGATCTGAAGTATTTATATTCTAAAATCTTCCAACCACAAAAACGGAAGCTATAAATTGGTTAATAACGTGCCTGGACCAAACCTGGTGTACCACCTGGCTTTATAATAAAGTTTTATTGGGACACAGCCATGTCCTTCATTAATGTCTTGTCCATGGTTCCTTTTGTTCTGCAACAACAGAACTGAGTTGTGACCACAGGGTCTGTGTGAATTGCAAAGTCTAAAATACTTACTGTGTGGCTCTTTTTACCAAAACTGCAGCAACCCTTGTCTAAGAATGTCATGCATACCTGTATTCCAAATACAGTCAGTGTCCAACTAAAACATGACTCAGGCTACTTTACTGATTCGCTTCTGCATTAATATTCTCCTTTGCAATATTCTAAAACTGTTTAAGTGATGATATATCTATAAGGTAAAAATAAGCCCTGAATTAAAAAGTCTTTACTGTTTGATTCAAACCTCACTTTTGGAAATGTTTTAGACTACATGAATGATTACCAGGACAGATAAGTTTGGAGTATGATAAAAACCTTGCCAAAATAGGGTTTATATTGGAAATAATTTTCCCAGAAGATTTTATCTCATTATCCACCAAGGAAAATAGTTTTAAAATCCACATCAGGACTGAAAGAACTACAAATGAGAACGAAGCAGTAGGTTATCTAAAATAGCTCCTCAGTGACAAGTACAGACAAGAGGAAGACATAAGCTGACCTACTCAAATCACACACAAATGTATTGTTTGCTCCTGGGCACATCTAAAGTGCATCTCTGGGAGTGGGGCTGGGGAGAGGCTTGGTGGCCCCCTGGATATCAGCCATGTATTTCAAGTATCTATAAATTTATAAGTTTATATCTTCTATAAGTTTATGTCTTGGCTCAAAACTGACCTTTTTTTTTTCAGGTATTGTTTTCAAAGATTGTATATCATTCGCCTTCTTTATCAGACCCGGTCCTGAAAGAACCAATAGTTTCCTTGCTCTTGTTTTTATTGTTTTGTTTTGTTTCTGGGTTTAGGGTATTGGGGATTGAACCCAGGGCCTTCACACTGAGTTAATCCTTCACCTTTTTCTTTATTTTTAATTTTGTAACAGAGTCTCCCTAAGTTACTAAATTGCCTAGACTGAGTTTAAACTTGTGATTCTCCTGCTTCCAGCCTCCAAGAAAGAGTGCTGAGACTCCAAGCACGCACCACTGTGCCTGGCTGAACCAGTAGTTCTTAAAAGCACATTCACTGATAGAAAACAAAGATCTGATAAGATGGCGCTGCAGGAGTACAGCACCCCAAAGAGAAGAGCTACAGGCCCAAAGGAATTACACAGGACAAATATTAGCGCTTTCACAAAAAAGAAAACAAAATGCTATTACGGTAGTTGCCAAGATGACTACTTGATGGGTAGCAGTTGTTAGGTGTATACATTTTAAAATATTGAAAAAGAAAATAAAATCAGTCCTACAACATTATCATCACACCTTGCACACTGACCTTAGTAAGTCACAGTAGTACATTTTGCGGATTTACAGTGACTATAAGATTACTCTATCAAAGTTAGTAAAATTCAATCCCGGACGACATCTGCCTGAATGATTTTCTTTTTGGATTCTATAGAGGAGCAAGTCCCTGGGACAGAGTTGCTTACATTTCTGCCAGGTGAATGTCTCCGACACTGTTGCATCTCCGTACTTGATGAGACACTTGAAGCTGTGGTTGCTGGTTGTGTTGAAATGCAGCTCACTTCTGACAGTGAACAGCTCGGTCTGGGGATCCTGGAAAATTGTTGTGTTGACGGCATCTGTCTCTTCTCCATTTTCCAACCAGGAGAGGTGGGGCTTAGGAAAACCTCCGGAAGTTGAGCACAGTATCCTTTTAATGTTAGTAGACAGATTCCCAAGGTCAGTTATACTAGGGGCAGGAAAGTCAGCTAAAGAAAAACACAAAGATATAATTACATCTGGTTACATATCTGTATGTATGGGTTTGTGTTTTGTTTTTTTTCAAGACAGTCTCACTATGTATTTCAGGCTAGCCTCGAACTCATAGCAATCCTTCTGCCTCAGCCTCCCAGGTGCTGGGATTACAGGTATGTGCCACCACACCTAGCAGGTTTACATTTTAATATACTATCTAGCTTTCATAAGAATTCAAGACCACCCTGGGCAACATAGTATGATGTTGTCTTTTTTTTAAAAGGTAAAATATCTAAGGTTTTTGTTTTTGTTTTGTTTTGCTTGTTTTTGGCACCAGGAACTAAATTCAGAGGCATTCTGCCACTGAGCCACACACCCATCCCTTTTTGTTTGAAGACAGGGTCTAAATTGCCCGGGGTCACCTTGAATTTGTGATCCTCCTGGCTCAGCATCCCTGGTTGCTGGGATTATAGGTCTACACCACTGTAACTGGTGAATATCTATGATTTCATAGGACTTAACCTAAAACATTTTGTTTTATAAAGAATCAAATTGAAGTTCAGAAAAATCATAGCTGTTCCATGGCAGAACTGGGGTTTGCACTCAAGTTTTTTGACATCAGAGAACGTCTTCTCCTTTCCTTCCTTTCTTCCTGCTTTTTGAAGTACCCTGTGATTCTCTTGTAGTTCATTTATTTAGTAAACTACAACAAGCACTTTTGGAGTTACCCTCCAATTTGAGAACAAGAACACTAACAAGAATGTCTATAAATCCATCTGTGAGGGCTTGCCTCTCCTGTCCTTTTATTTCCCTGCAGTGACTATTACCCTAAATGTTTAGCATTCCCTTGCTTCTCACAAAGCAGTCTCTTACCAGACAAACTGTCGGAACTGCGTCATGCTGAGCCTGTAATCGCTCTTGCTACTCTGATGTGGTTGAAATAAACAGAGGGGACGCCTAGCATTCCTCAAAGACATCCAGGGGGCTTGTATATGGGACCCCAATGAGGTATAAAAAGCTATATAAAGTGAGGGAGGGAAATGATAGCACAGAACAAAGGAGAAACCTCCCCTAAGCTCTTCCTCATTTATTCTTTGACTTAAAAATTTTACTTCTCAGAGTGAATGTGGGGATTCCATCCCCCACAGTAAGGTTCTAAGCCCAGCTTTCTACTCAGAAGTTTGGGTCCTCAGAGAGGTCATAAACCTAGTCATTCTTTGTGACCTTGGAACAACTTAATCACTTTTAATCACGTCACACTCATGTGGCATGGTCAGAAATTTGGGAAAGGCGGGCTTCTGAGTACTTGAATCTCACCATCCTAGAATAAATCTTCTCCAACAGAAGCAGTGAATAAAGAGTGAGAAGTGGGTTCCATGTAACTGTGGCTCACCCCTTTAAGCTTTCCTGTGATCTGGTGACCACAGGAAGAGATTCATAGCCAATGACTGAAGTAGGGAATAACAGTGTGGGATTCACTATGAATCTGCTGAAATTACTCATTACAAAGATTCATCATTATGTTTTACTAAGTATAAGGTTTGGTTTTCACTGAAACCTCACATGCCCGTGAAGAAGAAATGTGTTTAACTTTCAAGTTCAAGAGATTGGCCCAAGCCTGTGATTGCTCAGTAAGGGTTCCAGGCTCCACCTGTTCGCTCCAGGGCCTTCACTGTCACCAAGGACTAGGAGGCCTCCTTCCTGAGCAAGGCCTGCCCTTCACCCCTGGGGCAGAAGCAGGGCTTTGATTTGAGAATGTTTGTCTTTTCCCTTGTGGTAGGTATGACTGGTGTCCGCAATTCTTTAACATCTAATTTTGAAGAGGATTTTGAATGAGAACTTCAAATGTGAGCTAAGTAAATAATCATGTAGAAATATTAGAATATAATAGTAAAATAGCCATAGACATATAAACACTACATGAAAAATATGTATGCCTATCTGGCTCTTTAATCTGTTCAAAATGCTTTCACGGGCTCAAGTGCAGTTAACAGTACAGCTACATCAAATCAAAGATGTCCTCCTGTGATTCAGAAGGCATTTCGATCACTTCCGTACCCAGGATGACAGTTATGAACATTTCCACCTTAAGAAATCACTTAAGGTTTACTGAAAAATTGGAGACGACCCTAAGAAATAAAGTGAGATACATCCCTCTTTGATTAAAATATCCACTTAATAGTGTCTTTTAAGGGCATTAAGAATATATTGGGCCGGGTGTGGTGGCGCACACCTGTAATCCCAGTACTGGGGAGGCTGAGGCTGGAGGATCGCTGTGAGTTTGAGACCAGCCTGGGCTACATAGTGAGTTCCAGGTCAGTCTCAACTACATAGTGAGACCCTGTCTCAAAAAAAAAAAAGAATATATTGGCCCCAGAGCTGGAGATTTAGCTCAATGCTGCAACTGCCTGCCTTGCAAGCGGAAGGTCCTGAGTTCAATCTCCGGTACCGAGGAAAAAAAAGAGAGAGAGAGAGACAGAGAACGTATTGGCCTCAAGTAAAGCAAAAGAAAAAAACAAAAAAAAAAACAAAAAACAAAAATCTCACTCACCTCTGATGGAGAGCATGACCGAAGACAGGTGTTCCATTTTGAAGCCGTTTTTTTCAGGCTTCTGAACAACACAGGAGTAAGTGCCCCTGTCAGTCAGGCGCAGGGTCAGGATCACCAGGGAAAGATTATTAGGGATGTCAAGGATGGTCCGGTTTTCATACCCAGTCCACTTCTTCGTTTTCCCAAATGTGAGACTCAGCACAGCTTGTCTGTCTTTTTGCCAGTAGACGCGAATTCTCTCCAGCTCATTAACAGAAATGTTGTACTCACAGGACAGTATCACTGCTTCTCTCACTGCCTTGGTCACCTGCCTGCCTGGGAGAGGCAAATAGAACAAGATTTCATTTTTATTAAACACAGTTTCCCATAAGCACAGGCAGCCACAGGACTCAGGGTGTTGTTCCTAGGGATTAAGCATGAAGAGAGAATCCAGTTTGATTTTCTAGTCCTGGGTGCTTCGGTGATTTTTTTTACCTTCATTATTTTTGTGGCTAAACAAACCACATAACATAAAATTTACCGTCTTGACTGGTTTTCAGTGTGCAGTCGGTAGTGTTAAATGTATTCACACTGTTGGGAAATGACCTTCAGATCGTGTAGATTTGAAACTCTGCAATGAAGCAGCTCCCTCTCTCAGTTCCTCTCAGCCCCTAAGGCTACTCTTCCACTTGTTTTTCTCCCCTTTGAATTTGGCTACTTTAGATACCTCCCATAAGTAAAATCAACCTTGCGATTGGCTTATTTCCTTTATCATAATGTTATATCATGTGACACGACTTCCCTCCTATAACAATAAAGGTAATGAACAGTATCTTCTTGGGCTGATCATTCCTCTGTCGATGGACATTTGGATCCTTCCACAACTTGGCTACTTGTTGTGAATACAGCTGCCGCGAATATGGGTGTGCAAATATCTCTTCCAGGTCCCAATTTCAGTTCCTCTGGATATGTATCCACAAACCTGTTAGATACAGCATGATAGCTCTATTTTTAGGAGTTTGTTTGTTTGCTGTACTAGGGACTGGACCCAGGGCCTTCATACAATGCTACATCCCCAGTCCCTTTTTTAAAAAAATTCTTGTTTTGAGACAGGGTCTCACTAAGTCACTAAGCTACCCAGCTGGGCTCAAATTTGTGATCCTCCTGTCTCAGGCACCCACAGGGCTAGGATTACAGGCATGGGCTACCACACCTGGCTCTATTTTGGGTTTCTGGAGTGAACCTCCCGTACTATTTTTCATAGAGGTGGTATCACCAGTGCTTTTGAATGTTTTTCAAAATTTATTACTTAGAAAAGTAAATACAACTGCATAAAAGTGAACTTAGTTTAAAATCATTTCAGTGCATCACTAAGAGCAGGCCGTAAACACACATCACAATGTAAACCATCCTTGTACTTTTTCGTAGGGACTTCCCGATGGCCTGCGGGAATAAGGACCCATGAGCGCCATCTGTGAGACCAGGTGCCCTTCAGTCCTAATTATTTCTTACTGGCCTTATCTAACAGAACGCCACCCCACAGAAGTCAGCCTCGACCAAGCAGCCAGGATGAGCGATGGCGGAGGGTAAAGTCCAGAGGCCACATCTTGAGGCCACAGGCGGAATTGCTCTGTCACTCTGGACAGTGTCTGCCACAACCTGCCTTTTGTGTCCCCTGTCACTCTGTGGGAAGGAACAAGTGACATTTCATCGAATCCCTCTGGCAGCCCTGCGAGATGTGTACTCTACTACTTCGCAGAGACTTTGAGCGGTCCAGAAAGCTGGACGGGTAGGTTGGCCTGAGGTTCCATGGGCCTACGATCCTGCAGCTGTAGGAAAGGGCAGTGGGAGATGGCAGGAAGAAAACTGAGGGCCATATGTTCAACAGGCAGTGTAATCAGTCCTCATTATTGATGAGCTCCATATTTGTGACATGCCCTGCTCTCTAACATTTATTTGTAACCCCAAAATTAATACTTGCAGCACTTTGTGGTCATTTGCAGAGTAAAAAATGAGTCATTTGACAAACCCAGTGCCTGGCAGAGTCAGAACAAGGCAGGGCCCTGCCTTCCTGTTTCAGCTCTCCTACCGTAAATAAGTATCTTTTCCCACTGTCTAGTGAGTGCCATACTTTTCATAATTTTTTTCTTTTATTCGTGATTTTGCTTTCGGGGCGGTGCTTGCTGGGATTGAACCCAGAACCTTGCACAGAACTACATCTTCAGTCCCTTCCTTTAAAAAATTTTTAAATTTTGAGACAAGGTCTCACTACATTGCTCAGGCTGGCCTCCGATTTACTATCCTCACCCTCCCAGAGTGCTGGGATCACAGGTGTGTGCCACCACGCCCCCTAATTTGTCCACTTACAGTGCCCCAAATATAGTGCTGAAGTTCTGTATACCCTAAAAGACTGCTGTGCCTTACAGAGAAAAGTGTTAGATAAGCGTCCTTCAGTTGTAAATTGTCAACCACACGGGCAATGTTGATGAATCAGTAACACACACCACATAAGGTGTCTCTCAACAGAATCCTGTCTAAGCCAGGGCTATGAACTATCAGTGACAACAGTGCTGCCGGAGAGGCTCACAGGAACCTGTGGGCATGGCTCTGGGAGCAGTGGGTCGATACTCACCGGTCAGTACTCACGACAACTTCATAGAACATAACTACGTCAAATAATGAGAACCACCCTACGTGTGTTACCTACTCAGAAATGCAGCCATTATAGCCAGAGTAGCACAGCTCCATGGAACAGTGCCATCCTATTGCTCTAGAAATTCTTGCATTACGGATGGAAAACACACTCACTTTGGCTCCTTCCTGTCTGTCTGTTCCTGGTCTCCTGCCTGTGAAGCAAGGAATATTTTCACCATAAAGACCTGAGTGCTTGAGTCGCTGCCGTTCCTTGCTGGTTCTCTGGTCTACTCATGGGCCATTGGGTGGGCAGATGTGATGTGGTTCAGGTGAGCTGGAGACTCAGTCTTACATGACTTCACTGGCTTGACACAGGAATAAGGCCTTTCGGCATCGGTTACCTTACACACCCAATTCTCTCTTCACTGGATTAGCTGAGAATTTGAGTTTGGAGAGAATCTCATGTACAATGTCCTCTTGCTATCATCCCTGCCAAGAGGGCTCTGGTCTGTTGGTGTGGAAAGAATATTAGCTATGTTACCACTCAATAAACTCTGCAGAAGCTGTGTGGCCTGAGGCCACTTACTTACACTCTCTGAACCCCAGGCTTTGTTTTAGTTATTAGGATAATTAAGTGAGCTGAGTCTTGGCATATATATAACTCAGGGCATAGGCACTTACCAAATATGAATCATTCTCCTTTCTCCAGGAGAAAGGGAATTTACTAATTGGTCAGGCTAATTCTGTCTTTGAACCTTTGAATTTAGGAGGCTTTGCTTCAGGATGAAGTATGTTTCCCTTCATTTCCCTTGTGCCTTACAAAGTATAACACCTTCTTCTTATATGACAACAACTGTGCACAGCTGAGGAAGTTATGTCCTCTCTCAGAGAGTTCTGCAAGTTCCTTCTCCTGTCCATGGCATGGCATTGAGTCCCTTAGTTTCCTCACTACTCAGCTTGGTTTGAGAGAGCAAAGACCACTAAGTCTAACATTCCAGATAGGGGAGGTATGACTGGGCTCAGCAGGAAGCTGGGATATCACTTCCTTTATCAAATTTTCTATTTATGCAGCCCAAAGTTGAATTCAACAATACAGCATCCATGCCGGGTGTGGTGGCACAAGCCTGTAGTCCCAGCCCTCGGGAGGCTGAGGCAGGAGGAGACCAGCCTGGGCTACATAGTGAGTTCCAGGTCAGTCTCAACTACATAGTGAGACCCTGTCTGGAGCAAACAAAAAAAACAAAACCATAGCATCCTACTGATTATAGTCACACATAAATTGCCTGTTTTTCTACCCATCCATATCGTCCAGTGCAATAGCTCAGCAAATGGATGACCCTTTTCCGGCGGTGTCATGATACAGACCTTTTCCCTCCCTCTGTCTCCATATGATGACCCATCCTGGGCACTGACCATGTGGAAAGGAATCTGCTTCGATCACACACACAGTGAAACATCTGTGCACCACGAGTCAGAGATAGGGCTACCCAGTGTGAGAGAAGGTCCACCAGGCCCACAGGGAGGACGTGGGCTCTGAGGGCCCTGGACATAAGTCCAATGTGGGCTAAAACAATGCCTCAGCCCCAAGGGGATGCGGAAGTCACAGAATGTCAGACCTGGAAGAGACTTTCAAGAGCCTTCATTCTGGTGGCTCTGTCTTACAGACGAGGAAGCTGAGCCCAGGAAAGGAAACATTCTTTGTTTTCTGTTTTCCCCAGTTATAGCCTCCACTTCCATAAGTGAGCCAACACCGCCCTACCCGTACCCTTCCTGGCCCTGCCTTAGAGCTCTTTTGCTGTGAGAAAGAGTCCTTCTTTTCAGTCCTGGGTTCACTCTACAGCTTCAGGCTGCAGCGCCTTCCCTCCTGTCCTCCAGTCAAGGCCTCTGTGACACCCTGCACTTTTCCTAAGGTCTTCAGCTATCTTAAACAGACCCTGTCTCCTGTCTTCACCTCTTGGCTGTCTGCAATCCATAGAGATACTCTGCAGCCTGGATTTGCTAAGAGTGTTCCGTTTTACAGAGGCAGCCCTCTGTCCTACAAATACCAACATTTTAGCATCCTGATGCTTTTTCCTTGTTAGCTTCCACCACTCACCAGCAGCACACAGTTCCTCGCCTGACTTTATCTGTGACTTTTGGTTCCAAAGTTCTGGTAACTCTTCCCACAGTGCATGGGACCTACACACAGTGTCCCGCTAAGGCCCAAGCCCTCCTGACTAGCCGCCCCTACCCAGAGCTGTCAAGCTGTGCCTCCCCTGCCCATCATGGGGCACCAGCCAGTCTCAGGCCAGCCTCCGTCAGTCTGGCAATGCTGCACCATGGTGTTAAGAAGAGGTTGTTAGGACAGTAAGTAGCCCAGCACGGTCCTAGGCACCCCTTCCGGGCAATGACACTGAACACACCAGGCTCCGCTTTGGAGCATGTAAATGAAAAGGAGAATAAATGAAAACATAAACATGAAGACAGCATTGTTCAGAGTGAAGCTGTAATAGCTAAAAGTCAAGCTATGACCCGATTACTCTTAGGGACGTGAAGAAAGCACAGTGGACTAGGCCAACTACTCCAGTTGCCTGGGTTCTCATTCCAGCTCTGCAGCTGGCTGGTTAATTTGTTTCCTCAACTGTAAAATGGGTGTGATGCCTATGCCTCAAGATCACCATGCAATTAAATTCAATTGGCTGACAGAAATAGAAATGTCCCGTGCAGGTCTTCTTTAAGAGTTTCCTTGTTTCTCTTTTCATCTGCCTGCTGCAACTCCAATGTCTGCTTCCTTTTCTCTCACTCTGGGGTCCCTTGATATAGAGAACTGGGCTTGCTATGGGCCAGACGGACACCATGACACACAGCAACCCACTCACTGGAGGCTCCAGATAATGGACCCTTCTCCTTTCTTCAAAATGCTTGTTCCCACCCAAGGCGAACCTGATTTTGACATGTGATGACATGAGCAAAAGAGAGATCATAACTACAAGTGGAGTCATCTAATTGCCATGACAGTTCCCAAGGAGTTTTTGTCCAGCCATCTGAGAAGCAGCGTGGGAGTCTCTCTAAAGGTCACGACACATCATCAATGGGCAGCTCGACATTCCCATCTGATCTCCTCCTGCCACCAGGGCTGGTGCTGAGGAAGAACCAGACTCAAAAGAGGAACCAAAAATCTTTCGGGCAATTTGGAAATTCCCACAGGAGCCCAGCTCCCATCTCAGGGACCCCGCTACATGCAGAGTAATGGAGAAACAGTGCAGATGCCCCTGGGGACTTTGGTCTGTGTCAGTGACGCTGGAGGGAAGCCAGGTGTCTGGGATCTCACGCACCTCAACCTTGTAGATTTCTGAGCTTTTCATGCTCAAGCCATTTTATAAACAAGCACTGCGATAACCACCAAACAAAGTGAGCGTGAGGAGTGTGAGGAGAGAGAGGCTGCGTGTGAAACTCACATGCCTGGGACCGTAGAGGGCTGGTGCCTGCTCTGGGTGTCCTCAAAGCTCACTGAGGCCTGGCCCCGTAGGCCCTAGTCAGAGAGGCCTCCTTGGACTCCACCTAAGTACCCTCCTCCTCCACTCCACGGGTCCTGCCACTCTCTATCTGGTGCCCTGATTCCTCTCTGCAAGCTGTCTCCAGCGGGTCCATATTTACACATAGGATGAATACTGACATATATGTGAATGCTATGTAATTTCCTATGGGGCCATGGGAGCAGGGGTTTCTTGTTTTGTTCATTGCCACAGCTGCAGTGTGTACAGCAGGGCCTAGCCTAGGAGGTACTTGGTAAGCACTGACTGCATGCATGGCTAGGCATTAGGAGATGAGGTGGCTCCATCACGGCGGGTTAGAGACATAAATAACCCTGAATAAGCCAATCATTTCTTTGGGCCTTAGGTAGCATTTCTGCAAAAAGGGGCACAGTGCCTTCCCTACCTCCCCTGATTATGACAGTGGTCACAGAGCACCAGCTGCCGAGGGCGTCCTTGATTGAGGCACTGCTCAGATTCTTAGTGGGGCTGTTCTTCTGAGACTCAAAGCCAGCATTGCTGAACCACACCCAGGAAGGAACCATGGTAACTGTTGGACCCATGATCTGAGCTGAGTCCTCACCCATAGAATGGGGTGCCTGAGCCACTTGTACCCACGACAGTCAGGGACAGAGCTGCAAGAGGAGAGGGGGAGAGAAGACAGAAATCGAAGGCAGATCCGCTGAAGCCCCCAGTGAGATGTGTGAACCGCCACATGCATGGCACACTGGGGACACTAAACAGTATTAGCCCTCAGCCCCTGCTTTCCTTGGCCCCTTCTGCCACCATCCTCCCCCGAACACTTCAACTCCTGACTGCTAACCCTGAGAGAGAGGGGAAGCTATTGGCCCACAAACATGTAGACCATTAGTTCTAGACAAGCACTGAACCTCTTGAGAACTCAGTCTACTGTGGGATATTATTAGCCATAGAAATGAATGAGGGTCTGATACAAAGTCCTTATATACCACAACACGGATGAACCTGGAAGACATAGTATTAAGAAGCCAGACACTAAACTCCATGTATTGTGTGAGGCCATTTACAAAAAATGTCCAGAATAAACAAATTCAAAATGGAAAGCAGGGCGTGGTTCCCAGGAGATGAGGGGAGGGGAACACAGAGAATGGGTACACTAATGGGTACCAGGTTTCTTCTTGGGGCGATGGGGATGTGGGCACAGCACCCTGGCCTGGGTGCTAGCAGCACAAGGAAGATGAGGTACATCTGGCAGCTGCCAGATTTGAGACTGTCACAATTTTTACATTGCTTTTAATTTCTCTCTAAATCTGATCCTCACTTCTTTTACTTTCTCTTTTCTCTAATGAGTATTCATGTCCTTACAGGGCTCAGGGATTGAACAGCTGCTTGCAGGTTATGATGGTCATAAACATGGCCTGTGGGACGGACGTGTTGGCCATCAGCATTCTGACAGCAGCAGGGGGTGGGGGGTGTTCCATTCCTGGGGGCGCTTTGGGGGTCTTGTTTTTTCCTTGGCTTGGTGTTCCTTGTGCCTAGGCTTCTGGGCAAATGCTTTCGCTGCACCCCTGGCTAGCTCTTTGAAGCTGACCTCCCTTGAAGAATCCCCTCTATGAAGGCAAGGCTGCCCACGTTGGGCCCTCTGACAGCTGCCCTGCTACACCACTGCCACAGAGCCACCGGTTTCTGGAGTTCACTGTCAGGTGTTCCAGCTTCCAGAGACAGCCTGGAGGTAGACTGAGCCCTGCTGGGTCTCTCCCCCTGCAGAATCCCAACTGCTCTAGGCACGGATGGTTGGGGAGGGGCCAAGAGAGAGAAAGTTTCCAGTGTGTGGTTCTTGACCCAGGGCAGGCAAAGATGGGCCAGTGTGCCTCATGCTTTGCCGTGAAACAAAGACCTCCATAATCCTACTCCATTCTGCTCACCCAACCTCACCTCTGATAGACCACGGCAATCTCACACCATATTCTAATGTGCCAAAGCCTTGGCACTGCAAATCACACCCATCTCAATCCATCTACTCCCTCTGACTCCATTTTACAAATGCATCAAAGCCCTTGTCATGTACTGTTGGCTGCCAAAACAGCCTCCTTAGATTTGCACAATCACTGTGGCTGCCCCATAAACCATTACATATACTTTTCTAGCTCTAGTTTTTTTGCGTTTATTTTTGTTTTTCAAAGTCACTCACAGACTCCTTACTGAAATTACAGATGTGTGGTCCAATAGTTATTAGAAACGCAGAATCTTAGGCCCCATCTCAGACCCTTATAAACTGAAAAAGCATTTAAAATTTTAAAAAGGGGATTTACTTTCTGGAGCAGTTTTGGGTTTCTATCAAAGTTGGGTGGAAAGCAGAAAGGATTCCCATAGACACCCTTGCCATAGGTTCACAGCCTTCCTCCCTTCAGCATTTTCTGCCCAGGAGAGGGATTTGTCACAATCAAGGAGCCTGTGTTGACACATTATTGTCACCCAAAGTCCAGAGTTCAGAGTTCACTCTTGGTGGTATCCATCGTACGAGTCTGAAAAATTTATAATGACTTATACCCATCATTATAGTGTTAAGAAAAAAATAATTTCACTTCTCTAAAAAACCCCCTGTGCAAGAAACTGAATTTCAACAGTTTCCCAGGCAACTGGTATGCATGATTAAAGCATGTACAGCTCTGGAATACACCAGGCCTCTGGCTTGCCTAGAGGCTCTTCCATAGCCTCTCAAGGCTCTTGAGCACAGCTCAGATTCTTCCTGAGATGCAAGACCTGGGAACTCTGGGCCACCTCCCTCCTACCCCCGACACTCTGCCGCTGTCCACCTGCAGGTCCTGGCTCGTCAGTGCTCCTCCTAGGGTTACTGAATCACTTTTCTTCTTCTTCTCAACAACCACAAGTTCCATGAAAGCAAAAGCCATGTCCATTTTGCTCATGGTGTGTCCCCAACACCAAGAAAAATAATCCTGTGCACAGGACGTGCTCATTGCTTGTGGAATTCAATGATTCAGCAAAAGAATAAAACATTCCCACCAGTGTTCTTCACCCTCAGGTCCCAGTCCTGGTGGGGGCCCCACCCACAAATCTGTTCTCATCCATTCTGTCTGCTCCTGCTACCGTGGTCCCACTTTTCTCAGATCAGGGGCTTTTAGTCAGGAACGAGCACTTCATTGCCTTTTGGTTTCTTTTTTTGGCACCCGGGATTGAATTCAGGACCTTGCACTTGCAAGGCAGGCACAGTACCACTGAGCTAAATCCCAGCCCTGGCCTTGTTTTATGTGGGTTGATGTTGCTTTTCCCAACTGGCATACACAAACCACTGTGAAGGCAAGAATCCAGGCTCACCTTCGATGGCCCACCTGGCACAAGGTGGGTGTTCAGGCCTCGGAAGCTCACGAATTGCTTTGTTAACTCAGCTAAGCAGTAAATTCTGGATGTGGCTGCAGGACCCAGGGCTTTCCTTAATGCCTTCCTTAGCTTCAAGGTCCTCTACCTCTGTTTCCCTCTGACTCCCATCTTCCTGACACAATTATAAAAACTTCCTTTAATGTTTTTCAATGTTTTCCTTCTCTTCTACAGTGCCCCTTGGGTTTAAACTCTATGTCCAGCTTCCTTCTAAAACTTCACTGTAAGAGTGCTTCCCCAGCTTCCCAGAAGAGAATTGTACTACTGTAACTGCTGGTCCTGTAATGCAACTGTCAAATATATACAAAATCAGATGTGAAAAATCAGGATACTTAAGCCCTGCTGCTCTTGCAGGTTTTACAACTCAGAACACAAACCTTAAAGCTACCATCACAGCAGCATGCGTGCCCCTATTTCTGCCACTCTTCCCTTCCCTCTCCCCTTTTCCCATTTTGATTCTCCAGGCAGTTTTTAAGAGAGCAGCTTTAAGAGGATCTGTTGACCATTTGCAGACTGACAATCCCCCCACCCAACAGCCTTCTCTTCATTTTTAAACTGCCAGGATAGAAACAATTGCATAAGAAAGCAGATCTTTTTGTTTTTCTCACTTTTAAAAATGAAAACAAATTGTATCCTGCCAGTGAGATGAGCCCCAGTTTTCTCGACATTGCCCCATATCCAACACCTTAAGCCCACCTGCGCAGAAACAAATACCCTTAGAAGTCAAAATACTCTGCTGGAAACATAGGAAATACTCAGGTAGTCGATTAAAAACAGCTTAAAATTCGTGCTAAACCTGATATCACTCAATGTTAGATACCAATGTTGACAAAGGGTATCAGCCTCCAAAGCATAAGAATAAATATTAAGAGATATATAACGTTAAAAATATCCTATTTTGGGCAGGAGATTTAGCCCAGTGGTTCTGCTGCCTGGCTCGCAAGTGCAAGGGCCCAAGTTTGATCCCCGGCACCAAAAAAAAAAAAAAAATTGTATTTCTCAGCTACTCCCCACCTCCTTCAACTTGTACAGATCATCACTGTGCAGTTAGGGAGGCAGACACATCGCTGAGTTGTACCCTAGACATGGAGTTTGGAAACCAGACCACAAGGCCAGCAATGATCCCTGTCAAATCACAGCACGTAAAGAATATCTTGTTTGAGGATGAGGTCTAAACTGTTGTTCAAAATCATTTTATGGTTTTCTTAAAATAACACTGTCCTTACCCCTTCCTGGAAGGTCTAGGCTCTTGGGGCGATCTAGCTGCTAACTTGCTCTGTGACCCTAGAAGGGTCCTTGAACCTCTTTAGACCACAGTATTCTTAGCCCTAAACTGTGCTGGGAACACAATGAAGGTCTTTCCAGTTCACAAGGTGGCCAATGGCAGCACAGAGAACAGCAGCAGCACCACATTTCTCTTAGACTGAGGACCCGGAAGGTTCCTGAAAGTTGCTTACCTGAAGCCAAGTACAACAGGCCAGCCAGCACCAGCAGCCGAGAGAGCTCGAGGCATGATGTTCCCTGCCTCGGTGTGTGATCCATGGAGGCAGACACTCAGGGCAGAAAATGGAAGCCAACAATTTAGAGCCAAGGAGGACTGGGATGCCTCCTGGGAACGTGAAAGGAGCACGAACAAGGCAGCAGAGACACCCGGGTCTCTCACTCAAGGCAGATGTACCAGTCAATTCAATCACTCCACATAGGTGATTCTCCTGTGTGCTGGTTACAAAACACGCCGAGGAGAGGTTGGGTAGAGTTCCAGGATCTCCAAAGGTTGTAGATTTATTTCTTACAATCTGAAAAAGGAAAAATATAAGGCACCCCAGAAAGGTCTGCCTCTTACGGTCAGAAAAACTCTCTCATTGCTCACTTAAAATGAGCCAGAGCTCCTAACTCAAATGACCTTGAAAGCAAGGCACAAGAGGGAAAAGCAAGGAAGTGACCGTACCCAGTCACCTTGGCTTTTCTGAGAACTAACTGCAGCTCTCCATGAAATGGTGGCCTGCTATGGTTTACTTGGTTGGGAGCACAGAGACCCCAAGGACCCTCCATGACCCTCAGTGAGCCAACCCATGAGAGTCAGGTCCTCTGCAGACACACCAAGGACACAGAGCAACCAGCAAGGGTGGATTTGTCCAAGGCAGCCCTTATGTTATGAAAACTTTCTCAG